CTGTGGTCCCAGCTACTTGGGAGGCGGAGGCAGGAGACTCGCTTGAGCCCAGGAGTTGGAGGTTGCTGTGAGCTGTAATGCCATGGCACTCTACCCAGAGGGACAGCTTGAGGCTCTGTCTCAAAAAAAAAAAAATAAAAATAAAAAAAATAAAAAAAAAAATAATAAAGTTTGCACTGTTGTCAGGCCCTGCCCTGCCCCGTTCCCTGCCCTGTCCCCGGCCCCGCCCCCCTCCCGCGCCATGTTGTCCCGCCTTACCGTTGTTAAAATCTGGTCACCCTACTCTAGCTCCACAAAAAATTTAAAAATTAGCCAGGCTTAGTGGCATGTTATAGTTCCAACTACTTGGGAGGGTGAGGTGGGAGGATCACTTGAATCCAGGAGTTTGAGGTTGCTGTGAACTATGATCGTACCATTGCACTCTAGCTTGGGTGACAAAGGAAGACCCTTTCTCTCTCTCTTAAAAAAACAAACAAACAAACAAAAAAAGGTCGTTCCCTTTCCTCTGCAGAGGCCGCAGGATGCCTAGAGTTACTGTAAAACACGTTAACCAGCAGGAGTTCATCAGAGCTCTGGCAGCCTTCCTCAAAACGTCCAGGAAGCTGAAAGTCCCCGAATGCGTGGACACAGCCAAGCTGGCCAAGCATAAGGAGCTTGCTCCCTACGATGAGACCTGGTTCTACACACGAGCTGCTTCCACAGCACGGCACCTGCACCTCCGGGTGGTGCTGGGGTTGGCTCCATGACCAAGATCTAAGGGGGGTGTCAGAGAAACGGCGTCATACCCAGCCACTTCAGTCGAGGCTCCAAGGGTGTGGCCCACTGGGTCCTCCAAGCCCTGGAGGGGCTGAAAATGGTGGAAAAGGACCAAGATGGGGGCTGCAAATTGACACCTCAGGGACAGAGAGATCTGGACACAATTGCCGGACAGGTGGCGGCTGCCAAGAAGAAGCATTAGAGTAAATGAAGCTGGTTTAATAAATTGCCTCATTCGTGGAAAAAAAAAAAAAGCTGGGTGATGCCTGTGGCTCAAGGAGTAGGTCGCTGGTCCCATATACCAGAGGTGGCAGGTTCAAACCCAGCCCCAGCCAAAAACAACAACAAAAAAAGCTAAGAAAATCAACAATTTTCCAAAAGTCTGGTGCCTGGTGCCAACACTCATTTGTGAGCAAATCCTGAACCCACTTAGTGTGCATATTTATGTTTTATAGCAATGGGTTTGATTATGGGTGCTATAGAATTCATGGCATACAAACCACATTACCTTTCTAAAATCTAAGCATTGCTACATTTTGAAACCTTGATTTCTAAAAAGCAATTGTAGGTTTGTGATAGTAATCCTCTGAGGTGGGTACTATTATCTTCCTTTTATAGACAAGGAAACAAAAGCTCAGAGTGATTTTTCCCTAAGGCCATCTACCTAGGAGGTGGAAGATAGAGGTTTGAACCCAAGCTGGCTGATTCCAGAGCTACTCTCTGGGGGGAATTTTTTTTTTTTTTTTTTGAGACAAGAGTCTCACTTTGTTGCCCTTGGTAAAGTACACTGGCATCACAGCTCACAGCAACCTCCAGCTCTTGGGCTTAGGCGATTCTCTTGCCTCAGCCTCCTGAGTAGCTGGGACTACAGGTGACCACCACAACGCCCAGCTATTATTTTGTTGCAGTTTGGCCAGGGCTGGGTTTGAACCCGCCACCCTCGGTATACGAGGCCAGTGCCCTACTCACTGAGCCACAGATGCTGCCTGGAATTTTTTAAAAGCAGTTTTCTTTACTGCAGGAATGTCCAGAGCCTTTTATTTGCTATCATGTTCTGTAAATCTTTAGGAAGATGCTGTAGAATACGGCATTCTCAGACTTACACACCATGGATGTCAAAGTCATTTATTTTTCTTAAGGATTCTTGCAGTAGCAACACTCTGAGAACCAGGGAGGCCTCTTGAGCAGTACAGCCTGGAGCATGAAAACCCTGGGTGCAGAACAGGAGCAGTAAGGACCCAAACCATGTGGACCCCGGGCAGACAGAAGAAGCCTGTCACCAACTGACTGTGTATGACCTTGGAAAAAGTCCCTTCTCTTCTCAGAAACTCAGTCTCCTGCCTTATAAAACAAAGAGAAAACCACCATTGAGGTCTTTTAGCCAGCAACATTTTCTCCACTGTCTTTTAAAGAAGCAGCAGGCTGAGGCATCTGAAGTATACTTTCAAAAGAACTTCAAGGGAGGGCAGCTGGTGCCAGGTTCACCTTCCTGGAAATCCTTTGAAACCTCGGGCTGGACTGGGGGATCTGTCTGTGGCGGAAAGTGGACAGGAAGGATTCTGCGTGTCCCTCAGGCTCCACAATACTGAGCGCTGGAGCCCTTTCCAGCTCTTTAGCATCTGAACTTGCCAATGACATTTCTTTCTTCCAAGTCCAGGTAGCTTCTCTGAGATAATTTCAGTTAGGACCATGCCTGCCCAATTAAATATATTTATTTCATGCCCTTAAAAGAAATTTTAAACCGAATTGTTCCACTAACTTTTGAAGTTTTATTATCTAATTTTTGAAATGGGGAAAGCTGGCCCAAGAGAAACAAAATCCAGGCATGATGAAAATATCCAAAAGAGGGCACTGCCTGTGGCTCAGTGAGTAGGGCACCAGCCTCATATACCGAGGGTGGCAGGTTTGAACCCGGCCCTGGCCAAACTGCAACAACAAAAAAAATAGCTGGGTGTTGTGGTGGGCACCTGTAGTCCCAGCTACTTGGGAGGCTGAGGCAAGAGAATTGCCTAAGCCCAGGAGTTGGAGGTTGCTGTGAGCTGTGACGCCATGGCACTCTACCGAGGGCGATAAAGTGAGACTCTATCTCTATTAAAAAAAAAGAGAGAGAAAAAAATATATCCAGAAGAAATGTCTCCTTCCCTTCCACCTCCCTTTGCACCTGCTGCCCCTCTGCAGTGGCATTTGGCATTACCAGTCCCATATATCTCTTTTCAAGTAAACTTGAGTTGTATGGAAGTATGCATTGTTAGATCAGAAGAGGTGCTTTTGGCTGCAAGTACAAAACACCACCCAACCCATAAATGATGATTTACGTGTAAGAGGTCTGGATATAGAACAGTTTCAAGGTTGGTTCATTTAGGGAAGCAATGATATTACCATGGATCCAGATTCTTTCTCTCTGTCTGCTCTGGTGTCTCTAGCAGTATGATTTCTGTGTCTTGATATTGGGTGAGTCAGCAGCATGGGCAGGAGCTTCCTGGATGCTGTTTGTCTGCTAGGACGGTGAGCAGTACTCCCCTGTGCACCAAAGAGATTGTGAGTGACATGGTGTCATCCCACTAACCCCAACTGCATGGATTCCATAGCTCAGCCTCCCCTTAGCCTAAGGTAACCAGATTTTAACATTGATAAAGCGGGACACCATTGTGGGGGCGGGGCCTGGGGGGCTGGGCCTGACAACAATGCAAACTTTGATAAGCAGTTCTCGATAATCAGTTCTCAACAATTATTTGTTATTATTAAAGTTTAACATTATAAAATAAACAAAAATAATATAAAATGCATATCCTGGTGAAATGCCACATGGCAGCTGGAAACCGTATATTCCCTTCCTGTTCTCCTGTGTTCCCTAGCTTGTTGTACATTCTTTCCAAAAATCAGGGCTTTTTTAAAATGCTGCAGGACGCGGGACAAATTATTAAAAATCGGGACTGTCCCGCCAAAAGCGGGATGTCTGGTTACCTTACTCTGTGGGGAGGGGGCCTCCTTGTTTGTTCCAGACAGTTTGGCTCCTTCTGAGCTAATTGTCCTTGCCTAGAAGCAAGGGAGGGAGCCAGTCTCCTTCTGATACCTTGCCCAGGAGGGGAGTAGGGAGTTTACATTAGCCTTTTCATTTCCAAATGAAGTTACATTAACCTCTTCATTCCCAAATGGAGTTACATTAACCTTTTCAGCAGCTGAAAACCGTATATTCCCTTCCTGTTCTCCTGTGTTCCCTAGCTTGTCATGCATTCTTTCCAAAAATCGGGACTTTTTTAAAACGCTGCGGGACACGGGACAAATTGTTAAAAATGGAAACTATCCCGCCAAAAGCAAGACATCTGGTCACCTTACCTTAGCAGATCCCTGCCTTTGGCTCCCCAAGCCACCTGATGCTCAGGCAGGGAATGTGGGGGACTGAAATAGACGGTCTCTGAATGGCTGCAGCTGAAGTGTCTTAACCTCTGCAGATGCTAAAGATGCACATGGCCCTGTGAACACATTACTAGGGCTTTGGACAGGGCTGTGCAAGTGAGGGGCCCTGAATTTGACTTTCTTCATTCAGTTCATGGCAGATCTACTTCAAATTTGCAGGAAAGCTGGACAGGACTGGGGAGGGAGCAGATGTAAAAAGGGAGTAAAAGAGAGATAAATCCAAAGTGATTCTAATGTAATTTTTTTGGCTTAAGCAGTAGATATTTGGTAAAGGAGAAATAGGTTTGGAGGATGAAGAATCAAAATTTTAATTTTGACCATGTTATATAGGAGATTTCTATTAGATATTAATAAGTAGCAGTTAGGCCAGGCATTATGGTTCACACTCGAAATGCTGGCACTTTGGGAGGCTAAGGTAGGAGGATTGCTTGTTGCTAGAAGTTTGATACCAGCCTGGGCAATATAGCAAGACCCCATCTCTAAAAATGAAAGAAAAAGAAAAAGAAATTATCCAGGTGTGGAAGCCTGTACCTGTAGTCCAAGATACTGAGAAGGCTGCGGCAGGAGGATCACTTGAGCCCAGGAATTTGAGGTTGCAGTGAGCTATAATCACAGCCCAGGTGATTGCAGGTATTTGTATAAAAAAAAAAAAAAAAAAAGAAGTTGGACCTGTAAGGCAGGAATTTATCATCTCCATGTTTTTTTGTTTGTTTGTTTTTGTTTTTTTGACACAGGGTCTCACTTTTGCTCAGGCTGCTCTCGAACTCCTGAGCTCAAGCACTCCACCCACTTCTGCCTCCTAGAGTACTAGGATTAAAGGTATGAGCCACCATGCCTAGCCATCTCCATGTTCCTTGATAAGTAAATTATACATTGCTTTTTGTATTTGTGTATATGCATTTTACCTCACTATATCTATCTGTCTGTCTATCCATCTATCTACAATTTACCTGGAAGATGATGCATGAATCTAGCAATGGTGCATGATGCTGGAGACAGGAGACTGTAGACTAGAAGATAGAGGTGGCAGGGAGACCCCGGGAGACTTATTCTGGATACTTTTCTTCTGTTCGAATAAGGGAATGGAATTCAGAGATAACTCAACTAAGATCACAGAGTCCATGGGTGGCAGGGCTGCCACTGGAACCAAGGTTGGCTTGGCTCCAAATCCAAGCTCCTTCTGTCCTAACAGGTTCTGTCCCTGAAAGGAGTCCCCCAGGACAAGTGCTATCCTTCACCTGCCCCTGCCTGCACAAGCTCCTCTGTCCTAACAGGTTCTGTCCCTTAAAGGAGTCCCCCAGGACAAGTGCTGTCCTTCACCTGCCCCTGCCTGCACAAGCTCCTCTGTGAGTTTCACTATGGCATCTCCTGTGGCTGAGCATTAGTGAAAGGATTCTTTTTTTTTTGAGACAAAGTCTCACTATGTCACCCGCGGTAGAGTGCTGTAGTATCACAGCTCACAGCAACCTCAAACTCCTGGGCTTAAGCAATTCTCTTGCTTCAGCCTCCCAAGTATCTGGGACCACAGGCACCTGCCACAACACCCAGCTATTTTTTCATTGCAGTTGTCATTATTGTTTAGCTGGTCCAGGCCAGATTCCAACTCGCCAGCTTGGTGTATGTGGCTAGCACCGTAACCACTGTGCTACAGGTGCCAAGCCTAGTGAAAAGAGTCTTGCCTGTGGCCAAAGCCTGAGTGTGGTGCTTGTCTCTCCCTCTATCTATGTAGCCTCTGGATACAGCTACAAGTGACCATAGTCCCAGGAGTTCCACAGACAACACATC